ATTGAGAAACGTTGGGGAAGGTTGCTTCTCCTCGAACTGTAATCTGCTGCGCGACCTCCTCAAAGCTGGTGGTGAAATAGCAGAAGACCTTCCCATCTGAGCCGTGAACAGTACCAGATTTGCAAAATACGCGTTGGCCAGCGCCGTCCGACTTCAGCTTCCGAGTACCAGAGGCAATGATGAAGGGCCGGATAGAGATCTGCCGCTAGTGCAGCAGGGACTCAGGCTTGTCTCCGTCCCCAGCTCGAGGCTCCCGTTAGTAGGACCGCTTCGTCGGACAGCATCTGTAGACATGCCACTGAAAAGAAAATACGATGGATTGTTGTCAAGCTGCAGCAATACCTGCATGAAACAAGGAATACCATATGCTCTGCTTTGTGAACAAGCGCATAGAAAAACCCGTCATCCTCTGTAAAAGGCTCAATAATCATTCCCCTCTGCCATCCGCTTGTTTCGCCTATGAGGCACCGAAAGATACCTGACAGACTCCTCTCGTCGCGCGGTAAGACGAGAACCCTCACACTTGGGAGTGAAAGATGAAGTTTTAGACCATCTTGATGTCTCCCCCCGGAATTGGGACCGGGCCAGCTCCTGGATATGCTGTCTGCGACTGAAAACTCAATTGCACGAGGCCAAAGCCTCAAACGACCATCAGCTGGCAAGAGCTAAAAGCCTTGAGATGTTAGGGGGCCCCGAAGCTGGTAGAAGACATGAAGCTCGGGGCCTTGGCCGGTTCGACAGCTACCGTGCGCGGGCGGCTTGAGCTGGTAGTGCTTCAACAACAACAACAACAACACCAGCAGCAACAGCAACAACAACAACAACAACAACAGCAACAGCAACAGCAACAACAGCAACAACAGCAACAACAGCAACAACAGCAACAACAGCAACAGCAGCAGCAGCAGCAACAACAACAACGAAACTTGAACGCGAGCGTTCAGATTTCACGTGCTGCTGTTTTGGCAGTCATTAGCAGCATCTTGTCCAGCAGCTTGGGCCATCAACACTTGTAGGAGCTGCGTCACTGTGCTTCCGCACACTTGATATCGCTACTGGACGCCTTTGTTGCGCGCAGCCCCAAGCTTCAGTCCGTAGGCAGTGCCGAGAGCAACAGTCTCGAGCACTCAGGTCGAGGGGGCTTTGCTTGGTGCTGCCACTGCTCGGCCCGAGCCTAGCGAACCTCCTGCAGCAGCCACTTGCCGAACATTGGGTCAATCAACACAAAGCAAATCGCTTACACCATCAGCTCATCCAGTGTTTTGAGCAAAGGAGCGGGCCGATGTATGTGGCGGACGTGCAAAAGGCTGCTCGTCAGCTCGTAGCCGGCTTGACGACCTTGCAGCGTGCCAAGGCTGGATTCTCAAGTGTTGTACTCTTCTGGATGATGCTTGCATATGGCAGGTGGTGCACGGCGACCTTAAGCCGGGCAACATCTTGCTCAACGGCTCACTGCAGCCCAGTCAAGCACCCAGCACAGTTATCGAATGACGAAGATTCAATCTTGTCAGTCGCTGGACGCCGGGACGTGGGGGATCTACATGCATACTTATGGATGTGAGTGGTGAAAAGGGACGGGTGGGCCGTCCGAGCCACGACACTGTCCTAGGTTAGATATTGGAAAGCTTGGAAGCGAGTGCTCTTAGCTGACAGGCAAGATATTGTAGGAGGCCGTTTGAAGGCCTTCAAGCGTGAGCTGGATACGCAGCCCCACGTTTTCCATGCGAACGGTGGGTCCTGCTCAAGCAAGGTCTTCCTCCAGCACGTTCCCGACGCCAAGAGCAATGCCAGTCCGCCGCTTACATCATGTTGTTTTTTTCTCTCCGTGGATCTGCTTAAAAGACTTACACATGACGCCAGGCACTACATGCGCCCGGTCTCGGTCAACATCAAGATCGCCGATTTCGGAAACGCCAAGCAGCCCTCTCAGAGAAGCGCTTCGTGCAGCAAGCAGTGTAGCAGTGTCAACCGCGAAGGAAGGCTGGACCTGGTCGACATTTGAATGGGACTCTTCCCTACAGATCCCCCGAGGACTGACTGTGTTCTGATTCGACACTGGGTTCCTGCGGCCAACTCCACAACAGTTTCGGGCCAAGCTGCCGGCGTCTGGTAGCATGCTTTCGAAAGTAAAAAGAAGAAGCGCAAGAAATCCCAACCATGGTGGGGCGCCGCGAGCATGGAGCTTTTGTATTGTGCTTGTGTTCATGGTTTGTATGTTGTCGAGTCCGCGCTTCCAGGACTATGTCGACGGGCTGTGGGCACGGCACGAAACGGATTACTGGGCGTTGGGGTCCACCTGGCATGTGTTGGGGTCGTTGCTGCGCGACCTTTCCACCCTGAGCAAGCTGGGTTGGACACGTGTGATTGCCCTTAGTGTTTGCAGCCCTTGCACACAGGAAGAGGATCTTAACGGAATCAGTAGCCGCGCATGTGATTTGTAGTCACCTTTGAGTCGCTTTTGTGCACGTGCACACCAGCGCAGAAACTCGCGGCAATTGCGTACAAGCAGCAAACGTTGGCGGTTGTTGTGTTGTCGTTCAAAGCGAGCGCACCATCACAGATGGGATGCCAAAGCATACCGGTGTGCACAAGAGTGGTATGCAACCGTAGGCAAAAACCTCGCAGTTTTCATCCGATACTTTCCACAAGATGCGCGGATATTTGGCAAGTTTGCATGCGTGCGACAGACATGCGTGCACCACTCCTGGCGAACGCACCGAGGTTGACATGCGCACAGCATGTGACTTTTTACAAAAGAATGGAACATGCGGATATTTGGCAGAATAGACAGCCATGGATGGATAATTAGTATGCAATTCGCAGTAGTCGCACACAGGGAAAGGTAGGATTTGTGGTATTTGGCAGGGACAGGACCTGCGCAGGTTGAAAATCAGGATCACCAGTCGGGTGTGACATGTAGTTATAGGCGCCGTTTCAAGAAGCATGCGTGAACATGATGGTTTGGAAAGGCATGCTCGCAGTCATAGCAAAGATGTGTTGCAAGTTTCATCAGCAAACCACCTTTTCCTTTGGAACCTCAGGTTTTGCAGTCTACGTGTATGGCTTGCGCAGCACCGCTGAGGTTTGCATCATGGAATTTACAAGGTTTACGACAAAATCTTGAGGATATGCGCAGAAGTGGTTCAGATCCTTGGGTCAATCTTGCGTCTTCTTAAGTCGTCGAAAGAGTTGTCCATGGAATCTCGACCCGGAAGTCCTTTGGGTTGCGTGTGTGTGCCAGGTGCGTAGTGGCGGAGCTCTACCAGGGATGGCCGCTGTTCTCCTGTGTAAGGAGCGTCGCAGACCACCTGTCCCGTATGCAACGGGTGGCGCCACGGTTGCAGGCGCATCCATTGAGCCTGTGCAACATGTTTTTTGAACGGGCCTTCGACTTTACAGCCCAATTCACGTCTAATTTATGGGGTTGGTCGAGCGCAAAGCTTTGACTGTGCATTGTGCTGTGTTGATTGTGCATTTGTGCCTGTCTGAAGATCGTGGAAAAGCGATTGCTAGCTCGGGATTGAACCAACCAACGCGTGCTCTTGAACCAACAAGGATTTAACGTGCATTCTTGTCCGTAGTTTACGACAGGCGCTCATCTTGCGGAAGCATTGGCGCCTGGCGGATTGGGCAGGCCGACGATTTGCCACGACTTAATTCTTGTGTGAGTGATGACACTTGATTTCCAGTTTGCAGACCAGGCTGCGGCTGCAGTCCGAATCTTCATAATCTCCTGCCACATGCTGTTGCCCTGAGGAATCCTTCTCCAGCTCAAGCCGGAGCGCCGCCGGCTCTGCCCAGGGCATCCGTTCTTCCACCAACGCGTGCAAGAGTAAAATTGCCACCCCGCAGCGCGGAACATACCGATTGGTTTGCGGTGGGTGGCAACAACAAGGGGGTTGTCTTCGCTGGTACTGGAAGGAGAAGCATCGCTGTCCACCACGGTGTTCTCCTGTTGTGGACTTTGTTTATGAATGAGGCCCAGACTTCGGAATCCTCTGACTTCGGTGTCATGGAATCACGTGGAACTGGGCCCTCCGCCATGGACGAAGATGGAGTACCTGAATTGGAAGCTCGCGAAAGGCTCGCAGTGAAGCGAAGTCCGCTGTTTCAGTGTCTTCGTGATCCTCCATTAAGACTGGGTGCCTGAGGCGGAAAAGGCCTGCCGAATGCGTTCCATGCACCACCTGCAAGCCCTTGCAAGCACGGATTCGAGCGTGTTTGTCTCTTGGAAGGGGTTCTGCTGCACCATTGCATTCTCCGCCGCGTGACAGTGCTCAAAGTTTCAACGTCGAAACAGTCACACAACTTTCTGTCTCCATTTACCGTCAGCCATGCACCTTTGGTTTGCGCTTGTTGCAGCCGCTGATTGTTTCGTGGATATATCGCCGCGACGGATGTCACAGCATGTGCTGTGACAGGGTCGAGTGTGCTGCAGCACCGCGCTTAGAAATCCTCGGCCACAAATAAGGTATCTGAGGTTGTCCAGTCCATCCCGCAGCCAAACAGGTCCAAAGCCTCGCTCCCGTGGTGGGCCCTGCGAACTTTACCCCGCGTTGCACCTTGCCTTCTAAAGGTTAGAACGAGCTAGCCATATCCTGTCAATACACATGAGTCTGCCCAGAGCAGCAAGACGTGAGCATTAGTCTCCGTTCACAATCTCCCGTCGTGTCTCTCCTGATTGCAAAGATTCGACCAGCTTCGTGCATCCAGAAGAACAGGTGCAGATTTGCAGAAAGTACCATGCCTGAGCTGTGCTTTGCTTTCTGTTTGCGGGATTCACCAACCATGTGATGTCGAGCTACCCCCCTTGTGCTGTCTGGATTCCCCCGCCTTTGAGAATGTGGAGGCCGATCCCCTATGGCCCCGCCGGGTCGTCCCATGCGCTGGGGTTTTGATGGTCAAACCGGGCCTCTCGCCAATGCATTTCATTCAGGCATTTTCGTGGAGGATGGTTACGCTGACGTGATGGTTTTGGGGTCCCGAGGCCAAACAGAGTGATGCAGGTTGGCTATGAAGGCCAATTTGAGGGGGGCAAGTTGGCTACGCTAGTGGATGCTGATGGGTATCTTGCGAAAACCATTATTGCAGGCAAGCGCGGTCAGGGCACGGGGAGGGGGGGGGAGGTGCGGTGGTGCAGAGGCAAAGTGGGCTCGGTTGATGTGGTCGCCGCAGCAGCGATTCCCAAAAAAGGCAGGGCTTCGCTGATGGTCATCCAGTGGCTTGCAGAGTCATGCTTGGGTATCTTGGATGCAAGTTTTGTTTTTCTATGTTTTTCTCAGATGTGCATGTACTAGTAGTGGTTAGGAGACCAACGTGGCCAGCAGCGTTAGCAGCGTTGACTTGCACTCCTACAGGGTGCTGCTGGGTGTCTGCACGGAGAGAGCTCCCCTCTCATCATCTGTGACTTGCGCCCAGTCTTTGAGCGTGGTCCATGGGGGCCGCGACATAGTGAACTGTCAGTGCGATGATGCACGTATACGAGCTGCGTGTGTTGTTGCCAACGCCGCGTGCGCACATATGGACGATCGGGCAGGGAAGAACGGCAAGAATGCCCAGCGCAACTTGGGAGCCAAGAACCACGCCGTCATCCTGCCTAACCCCGACCCGAAGTGCATCAAGAACCAACTCGTTGGTGCTTCTGCTGGTGGGGAGACCTGGGATATGGGGGACCATAATGCAAGGACAAGTCGTGTTCTTGGTTTGGGGGCGGGGCGAGGCATTTTCAGTTCTTTACACCATCCAGAGCTCCGCAAAACTGCAGCGCCCAGCGAAATACCCATGCTTGTTAACGCCCAGCAACGAAGACTTGCAGCCACCAGTAAGCGGGCGGCCCCACTTCTTGGAGACTCTCAAAATGCACTCTCAAAATAAGACCCCTAAACCATCCGATCGCTTGCTATCAATTGCCCGGATCCTGTGTCACGAGCTACGAGCTGAGGAAAAGCGAGAAAGAGAAGGTTGAGCCGGCGCTGCCTGAATTGCCGGCAAGTCCAGCAGATTTCAGGTCAATGGGCGTAGGGTTCTCACCTCCAGGTCATGTCATGTGAAAAGTTTACCCAGTTTTCCCAAACAGTGTGCACACTCCAGGGACCAAAATCTTTTCTGGGAGAGTAAGCTGCAGGAGGTTGCGGTCTGGGCGCAGAACCCGCGGCGCGCATTTGGATGTTGGGCTAGGTCTGTGGATTCTTCCAAGACGAGATTGACCTTCAGAGCCCAAGCAGAAGTACGAGAAAATGTCGATATGAGTTTTGCTAATGCGCCACATCTGTTTGCAGCGCAAACATGTGAATTCGCGGCCTTTGCACGCACGCAGATTGAGCCCGAAGCTTGTGCTTGTGGTCAATGCATGAGGGTGTGACATGAAAGAAGGCTGAAGAGTGCTTGTTGCTAGGATATGCCGGAATGCCAGCAAGCTTTGGAGACTGCCCGCAAGTGTGCGGGCATGTGCAAAAAAAGTTGGAGCTGCTTGTATGCAGCAGTGGTCAATATGGAAAGCGGGGAGAGATACTCAACCCCACTTTTAGCTTGTTCGACCGCAGGGTGCCTGACAGCCGTGCGCAGCGTCACTGCGTCTCGCGCCACATCTTGCAGAGCTTGCGAGAAACGGGCAAGCTGGTGTGATCGGGGCCTGCCGACAAGTGTTCGAAGTTGAAGCAATCAGAGGCTTGACATGCTTGGCATTGTTTGTTCGTTTGTGCAGGCTTCTTGCTCAAGCGAGTACTGTGCCGCAATTCGAGATGATTGAGTACACGTACTTGGAGTGGGTGCTCGGCGGCATCTTCGACAACCTGGCCGCGCAGGGCTATCAAGGCCCAAGCCATTCGGCCGAACACATCCTGGACACCGTCGAGAGGGCGCACCGGAAGGCGTGCTATTCTTGTCGTTGTGGTTTTCTTTCAAAACCCTCCCCCCCTTCCCAAATTCCCATGAATGAGCGAGACAGAGAGAGTTTAGCGGAACAAGTGACTTTGTTTACGAGCTCGTGTCCTAAGTCCTTTCCGGCAGGTTGGGTGTTGAGAGGAAAGGTTTCAAATGAACAGGACGGGCAGTACTTGTCGAAGGGGAGAACATCGTGAGGAAAAACGAGACTCTGAGCCGCCGCGCGTGAAGAAACATGTGCGTGTTTATCAGCAAGTTGGAATATTTCAGGGACTCCGTGCACCGTGCCGCTTGCAAATGGAGGACGATGCGCGCATGTGTAGAAGTTTCTTGGGCGGGTAAACGTCAGCGCCGCACCAGGACGAGTACGAAAAGCGGGAAATATCGCCCCCACGAAGCTTTGCAACTCAATCCCAGACAGCCCGCAAAGAAAGAAAGCCCCGCAGGCAGTGGCGAAGCACGAGGAAGTTTGGCAGTTTCTGCAGGCCAGCTCTGATCTTCTTTGATCCGTTTCTGAATGCGATGTGCTTAGATGCTTGGTGTTGCCGGCTTTGCCAGGACGTGCGCGACACCTTCTCCTCGTGCTGCTCCACGCCGGCCGAGACAGAGGAGATCCGCTTCTAA